ATTCATGGGATTTGAATGTAGGTAGCTAGGTCAGCATTTATTGCCCATTCCTAAATGCCTTTTAGAAGGTAATAATGCTGCCTTCCTGAACCATGCAATAATGTAGGGGCACCCAGAGAACTCTTAGCAAAGGAGCTTTATGATTTTAACCCAGCGACAGTGAAGGAACAGTGATATAGTTTCATCCTAAGATGATGTATGGTATGGAGGGGAGCTTGCAAATGGTGGCATTTCCGTACACAGTGTGCGTAGTGAATGCAAAGGTGGTAAAAGTGGCTTCCTGTGCTTGCGCATGTATCACCACTGACACCAATTTGCTGTTACACAAATTTGCTGTGATGGAGAGCCGTGTGGAGGTACAGTGCCCAGCAGTGTTGGAGCATGTGCAGTGTGAGTGCCAGCAATGGATAGTTTACTTGTTTGCCAAATAAGTTTTTGGACGTGAGGGGGGTGCAGATGAATGGGTGGCTTTGGGAACGTGTTATGTGGGTCGCAGACCCTGTAAAATAACTTACCAACCCCTGTTGCAAACAGCCCAACCTGCAGACCCTTGTAGATCAGCCAGACTGGAGAAGAAATTTCAGCATTGATCTCTCCCTCCCCTCACAGGGTGCCCAGAGGAGTTACTCCAACTGGCGAATTCTCAGTTATTAAAACCACAGTATTTACATCAATGGTTTAGCTCATTTTCTGATCAGCGATAAATCCCAGAATGTTAATGGTTTTGTTGATTCGAAGACTTGAGTGCCAAACAGCCACAATCCCAATCAGCCACTGTTAGAATGGTCTCACAAGGTTTCCTCAGCATTTGATATTGATGTGTTTTAAGTCCAACTGAGTTCCATAGAGCAGTCATTTAAGTTAAGAAACAAGTGAGCATCCACTGGAGAAAAGTACGGGCACATTTGGCTGAAAGAGCAGGACAGAAAAACTCTTTTACAGTCATGCTGATTTTTTTCATAGTAACTGCCAAACGGCCAATTGCTTTGTGATTAGCCATTATAAGGAAATCAGCCTTTGATGAGCCCCATTTCTGCAGGCTTAAACTATCATATATGTATATGGTTTGGGGGCGATAGACACAGGACTGGAGGTTCTTCTGGCAAATGATAACATCTTGCCATAACGTCTGTCTTTGATGTTAGTGTCAAGGTATAGAAGATGCATTTACTATCTTTACCTCAGAAGACAAACAAATGGAGACCAAATCACACTGTCATTCCAACTCCCATCTACTAACAGATATCCACTAAAGTTGACTGGGATACTGAGGTAATTTGGAACCAACTTCCCATTTTCCTAATTGCCCCTGCACTTAATTGTACTTAAATGTAATGTTCGACATACTTGACTGGATCCTTCCGATCTCCCACAAGCTTAGCACAACAAGGCTCTAGCCCTGGTCAATCCCAGCAGAGGAGAGGGATTCCGCACCACACATAAATTAGAGTCAAAAAGCCTCTTAGACAGTGGGAAAGTATTCCGAAGGCAGGTTGAAGTCCTGATCCACTGGATGTGGCCCTAAATTGATGCTCATGGGAAATGATCATCAGGAAAACCAGAAGTTTGCCTTACACCAACGTCGCAGGACTGGAAAATATCCACTTAAAGCGGTACTTGTGTTGTCCAACTATAAGATGGGAGAACGCAAAAGTAGTATGAATTTTAAGAAGGAACAGTAACACAGAATAAATGGCAAGTGGTTGGTGACTACTTCAATGCCAATAGTCTTTAGACATTTAGCTTGATTGTCATAAAACTCACCACTTGGATAATTGACAGAGTAGGAGCACTTGTGTGACGGTATCTGTCATTCTCTGCTGTGTTCAGTAACCTTTCAGTGACCTTTATTGTTAGTTTGCATTGCTCGTGGTGACTCCCATTCTGGATTCTGTGCTTCGGGAGGTCACACAGACTTTTATTTCATATGGAACGTATGTAAATTTCCCTTTTGTTTGAATATTCTACGATGCAAGTGCTTTATAAAAATTAGTGACAGTTCTGACAAAAACTCTTTCTTAACAGCTTCATATTGCATTTGAAAAATCTCTAATGGTAAGTGTTAGTTTGTGTAATATCATTGCAGAGTTAGAATAGCTGGAAGAATAAACTCTTCTCATCAGTGATAAATTATGTGCTGACCCCCAGAACATCTCCTCTCAGGAAGCTTGAAGAATCGTCAGCTCATTCAGTCTGCTTGACAGAGCTTATTTTTAAAATCTTTTCACTGATGTCAGCCGGGGATGAATTGGCCAGGAGAAGCATGTTTATAGACTGTGTGAAGAACTTTGTCTTTGTGTGGGAATGTTGGTGACACTGTTATGGTTTGCTTGAATGAACTGTGATGACGCAGCTAATAAGGCATCCTGCTGGGTGTCATGGCAGGCAGTTTTCAGACCTCCCACCTAAACCCATTCAGATCCAGCCACTGTGGATAATTTTCTATTCCCAATTCTTCCTCCACAAAAAGCAAAGTCAACTTTCACAGGGAATGTGGGATAAGTACTTTAGGAAATAATCTTGTAAACAAAATGTTACCTTCTGACCTGCAGCTGATACCTTGACTTAGAACAACTGAATGATACAGGCTATCGTATTAGGCATGGCAATTAACTGAAAGGGGGACTGATCCTCCTCACAGAATAGCTATGAAATGTTATAGCAAATCAAGGGATGCAGCCTCTTTGTCGTTTTACCACTGCAATGTCTGACATGGCTATTTTTGTGCTTTTTGTCCTGATTTTGACTTCTTGGAATACAGGAGTATTGATTTAGGAGAAAAAAACATACGGCTCTAAGCTGTTCCATTATCCTAGTAGCACTGCCTGACCTTTGAAAGACAACTCTGGCAGAATTATTTCTAAGTGATGTAAGTGATGGTACTTTTTTCGGAAAGGTCCAATCTGAACATCAAACTATTTTATCTGCGGGAGCCAGAAAATGTTCACTACAGTGTTATCTTTCGGAACTTCTTATTTGAACGCAGGATTCAAGTGGCCATTGATAATTGGTTTCTTTACTTATATTTGTGTTAAGGAGAGGGGTTTCATTGGTATAATGGGGAACAAAGCACTTTATCAATTCGGCATCAAACTTTCTCAATTGTCTCAGTGTCAGATATTGAGTAAAAACAGAATCTGGATTTAGCACTTTTACTGCTTGACAGTTGCCAGATTCTGGTCTCCTAAATCCAAACCAATAGGAGGGTAAAGATTGATTTGGACCCACCATTACTGGGTCAAACAGCAAATTTTGAACATCACAGAAAGAAGAAAGATTCTGTTGACTTTTGGGGTAATGAGGAAACAATATTTCAGAAGAAATGTACATTTGGGACAAATAGGTGGACACCTATTGAAAGCTAAAATTAGTATAAAATGGACAAATAATAACATAGAAAGAGATGATAGCATTTAAAAAGTTGTCATACAGAAGTGTCACCCATGCATGTTAAAGTCTTTGTTACAGATGGTTAGGCTGAAAAAAAGCATTGCGACAAATATTCTGTGACTGACACAATAAATATGAAGACAGAAAATGGAGTCTAATTGTCCAAACATTGGATTATGAATCAAATCCATTTTTGATACATAATAAAAAGTGGAACAAAAACAGAACTTGCTGGAAAATCTCAGCAGGTTTGGCAGCATCTGTGGAGAGAAATCAGAGTTAGCATTTTGGGTCGAGTGACCCTTCCTCAGAATGTTACTCAGAGGTTGCCAGACTTGCTGAGTTTTTCCAGCAATTTCTGTTTTTGTTCCTGATTTACAGCATCCGCAGTTCTTTTGGTTTTTATGTAATAAAGTGGAGGTTTGGTGTACAGGAGCTTGTTGAGAACTCTACTTACTACTCCAGGACACACCTTCCAAAGGGTATAAGAGTATTGTGCAGATGATGCTGTGGAGGACTTGAACTGTAAAGTGAAGATTTTTAGGACTGCAGACATGAAGATCTTGCCTTGTGAAATGTATTCTGAAACTTCAAGACAATCCACAAGTGCTATCAAAGCCTGCAAATGCCAGATCCTATCTACGTTGTTGAACTCACAATCCTTTGACGGTGCTGGCAAATATGAAATATTTTCCTCCAGTTCGTACATTTTTATTCATTTCTGGGATGTGAGCAGTGCTGGCAATACCAACATTTTGTTGTCCATCCTAGTTATTCTTGAGAAAGTGGCAGTAAGCTATCTTCTTGACCCATTGCAGCCCAGTGTTGCAGATACTTCTACAGTACTGTTAGAAAGGGAGTCCCAGGACTGTGAAGGAATGACAATATCTTTCCAAGTCAGGATGGTGTTTGTCTTGGTGGAGACTGGCAGTAGGCCATATTTCTTTATACCTGCTGCCCTTATCCTTCTTGGTAGTTGATGTCATGGGTTTAGAGGGTGCTATTATAAAAAAAATTGTGTGTTACTGTAGTGCATATTGTAATTGGTTCCTACCGCAGTTGGGGCACTGGTTATGAAGGAAATGAATGTTTAAAATGGTGGAGGGATGGCTTTAAAGTAGATAAATTTGTCCTGGATGGGGTCACATGTTTTGAGTTGGACTCGTTCAGGCAAAAGGAGAATATTCCAACATGTTCCTTACCTGTACCTTCTGTCATGTATATTATTTCTCCAAAGGACTTAGTGAAACGGCAGAATGTCATGTGGTAAAAAAATGTCTCTTGACCTGCACATTGTAAACCAAAAGTTCTTATAATATATTTTTCATTGTTCATCAAGACACACACTAGAAAGCATTATACTATCTGAATTGCCCTGAGAAATATAATTGTGATCTGTTTGTTCATGATGTAACTTTTGATATTTAGTGTAATTTTACCCAAAGTGATCCAGCTTTAAGGGTAAATTCACCAATCCTGTGCTTCTGGCAGGAGTCACTCAAGATTTGTCTTTGTATCCTTGATTTAACACTGTTTTGTTATTTTAAATTTAAAAACTTAAGCCAAAAGTATATAGAAAATGCAAATAAATTTCTCATCCCTCACTCTAGGATTACAGATCAACGATATGAGAAGGTACCACACTTCCTGTTTGGTGACTTCAACTTCAGGTTGGATTCTAAAGGTGTGATAGAGGTAGGTGTTATTGATGGACAGAAGTTCTACCAGACTCCAGTTCCACCAACATTACCGGTTTTACTCTCTAGTTTCACAACATTCTGAAGAATTGGGTTGGGTTTCCGAAAAGGGCAAAACACTTGCGAAAGTTAAGTTGAAATATTAGAGCCAGGAAACATCATATAAAAATTCTTGAGGAGAGATTGGGAATTTGAACTCCATTGGAGCATATTTATCTCAATTAACCACATTACAGAGGTATCATTGAAATAAACAATCTCCGCATGGCTGTTCATCACTGTGCATTTTGCTGGAGTTTAGACGAATGAGGGGGAATCTCATAGAGACATATAAAATTCTAACAGGACTGGACAGGGTAGATGCAGGGAGAATGTTCCCAATGGTGGGTGTGTCTGAATGGTGGCTGAGTTTTGCAAATGCAGACTGGTTGGGTGTGGCCAGTATCTTGCTATTGAGAACAAATGTGATTTCATGACTGAACAACATTTGCTAAATAATCCTGACTTTACAAAATGATATGCTGATAACTGATTTAGGATTGTCAATCAGCATGCACAGTGTGAGACATGTGCATGTACCAGAAGATAATATAATAATACACAGGGGTCTGTATTTTGCAGCAGAAAGAAAAACCTGCCTGTTTCAACTCATTAAAATAGGTGACAGCCATTATCTGGTTTATTTCACTGGGTAATGCCCTGACCAATCTATTAGCCTATCTGGTTTAAAATTTAAACAAAGCTTAATAGCAGGACAAGCTTTGACAAGTGCAAATTGCACTTAGACCTTAACCTCAAGGTAATAGTTTCACACCTATGCTACAGTTATAATGTCAAACACCCTAAATGTAAACAAAGACCAGAAATAACTTTGATGCCCAATATTAGAAACTGTCTGGAAATGTCAGCCCAGGTTATAATTATTGCCTTATTGCCTGCTGTGCCATACCTCTGAATACGTCCAGTTCTGTGATTGACTGAAATGAACTGATGCAAGTGGAAGATCTGTGAATAAGTGTTAATTGTCATGGTAAAATATATGTCCCAGAAGTCAGAGAAACTGCTTTTGAGGTTTTAAGAAGACACTTCCAATTGGAAAGGTGTCGTATTTTTTTTTGTCTGTTCAAGACTTCTGCTCACGAGGAGCTCTCTCCTTCTTTCCTTTAGAGGTTATTGAGATTAAATTGTTTTACTATAATTATCTCCACCATCGAATTCGGGCAGAATTAATGTTTTCAGCACTGTTTGTTAATCTATTTATCTATCAAATATATATTTCAATAGCTGAATTTCAATGGAATTTGATATACAGAATAGCTGATTGTAAGAAAAGAAAGAAAAACTAATTCATTATTAGCAAACATGCAAATCCAAATCCTGGATTTTTTGTCAAAAGTTACATTTCCTTTGGCATATAGAGCAAATTGACCTTTTTTTTAGAAAACTGGATGTTGTGGATTGTTTTACTTTATAACATTGTTACATGCTTTGAAATGTTGTGACTTTTTCAATATGCTATTGTGGAATTTCTCACAGCTGTCAAATGTGAGCAGAGTTTTCAGAACAGGTTGTTGGATGTGATTTGCTTGAAGCTTTTTCAGTGAGAAGAAAGCTCTTATTAAAAGGTTTATTTTAAGATTTGTGGTTTTGGAACATGAACCAAGGAGAAAATAAAGTCTCAAGAAAGAGCTGCTTAATTCCAATGTTAGCACAGAGTGACAGAGTTATGCACTCACAGAGTGTCCACTTTACTGGTTTTACTTTGATTTGTAATACAAATCACAATCAATTAGGAATCAATATTGACATTAATACCAACTAAATTACCTTACCTTCCTTTTCTGCATTTTCCTTTTTTTCAAATCCATCAGTGAATAAGATGATCACACACAAGGTAGGCAAGGTACCCAAGTGAGCTCATTTATCTCTGCCAAATTTAATGCTTGTTCCAGCCTCTTTGAACAACAGTATACTGCCTCAGGAATCTTTCCTGATCAGCAATTTTTTTTTTATTCATTCACAGGATGAGGGCGTCGCTGGTTAGGCCAGCATTTATTGCCCAACCCTAATTGCCCAGAGGCCAGTTAAGAGTCAACCACATTGCAGTGGGTCTGGAGTCACGTGTAATCCAGATGACGTAAGAATGGCAGTTTCTTTCCCTAAAGGATGTTAGTGAACCAGATCATTTTTCTGACAGTCGACAATGGATTTATGGTCATCATTAGACTCGGAATTCCAATTTTTTTTAAAATTTGAATTCAAATTCCACCAACAAGACATGGCGGGATTTGAACCTGAGTCCAGAGAACATTGCCTGGGTCTCTGGATCAATAGACCAGTGATGATACCACTGGACCATCTCCTTCTCTAAATTCCAAATAATAAGTAATCATAATACAGATAATGAAGAAGAAAACCCTTTTTTGTTCAAGAAAAATGTGTGATGCAACCCAGCTGCTGAAAGAACTGCCCACCTGAAAATCTCTGGAAAACTGCTTAGTCTGCAAGCAAAGTTTCAAAATCCATTGGCTGCATTTATAAGGAACCATGGCCTGCATTATTCATGGGCATTTCAGTTAGTAATTTAATATTAGCCTAGTTCAATTTCAACTGCATGAGAATTAGATTTACTTACCCTTGTCCTTTCCTGGCAATGAATAGATACTGAGCTCATTATTTCAAATAACCATTTTTTCAGAATAGATTTGAATGGACTTCTGATGTGAGTCTAACTTTAGTCTGCTAATTTTGGAGCTCAAATTCCATGGGCAGAATATGTATTTTACAGTTACTTTTTTGTAATCTTTTGGATATATTTGTCTCCTCCTTTGGGGGTGCTTCCATATTAATCAAGCTTTGGAATGATATTCCACCCATTAATTACTAATTGAGATTATGTAATCAGATGTTAATGATACTACAATATGGAGTCCTGTTCTGTAATTTTAAAATGTCTTTGCAGAATTTATTGCTGTATCTGGAGTTAAAGTGTCTTTGGCATGTGATAATTCACTGGCAAGTTAAATCATTATAGTTTTCGGAGTTCTACCACAGTAATGTAATATTGATAGTGAATATCCAAATATTGTCAGTTTTGTTTCAATTTGATAAATATTGTACTGTTTTCTCATGGGTCAATTTTGCTATGAGCATTTCCATTTGGATGTAAGAAAAAATGGTCCTTGTTTTCCATTACAATTGGCAGAACATTTCAGAGGCAGAAAATACACATATGATGCGTGTAATGTAGAGGCGACCTGAAATATGGAGCAGAACAGTTGTGTTGAATTGATTTTGAAAGAGACTACAAAAGTAATTCAAGCACAAAAGGTGCTGTACCTCAACTTTACATCCATTCTCTGAGATTAAATAGATACATTTTGTTGCTAGGCCTCTCTTGAGATTTTTTCCAACAAATAAGAGCCCTGACAATCCACGAGTGCATGCCCACCATAATCTGGAGATTTGTTTGCCGTTTTGTATGAGTTCAGGCTGGACCTGCCTATGTGTATTAAGAGACTGGTCTCGTTCATCTCACTTGGTATACCAGCTTCATGGACTATAGCCAATCCTGCATGATCTAAGGAAATCTCTTGTCCAAATTTCAAAACCTCTCCCCTCACTAGCACTGATTATCTTGAGGCAGTCTTTAAAGGCAGGCTAGAAACAGCAGAAACACAGTGTAAGGTGTAATTTTTTTGGTAGGTTCCGTCAGTTCTTTCATTGCAAAGTTAGAGTTTCCCTTTCCATTTCCCATTTTCCTGGAATTCTATTGACTACTTGCCTTCCAACCCTCTGCCCCACACTCCCATCATTAATTTCCTGACATGTTTATCCTCAAAGTCTTCAACGTTCCTAGACAAATTGGAAAGGAAAGGCAAACTCTTCATTTTAATGACTGGAAGAGCCTTGACTATCAGAGCTACTGATGACACTTTTAAGATTAATGAAGAAACAGTACAGAGAAAATGAAAAAAGTCTTTAACATTCCTTGATTTTTTTTCCCCTTGGCATTACTAGAGATTAATCTTTATTTCCTACAGGAGACTCCTAGAAGGTTGACAACCCTTCTTAAAATAGGTGGGGGCAGAAACTGCATGGAAATCTGGGGCCAGGATGTGCAAGTGGTTCTTTGAGGCCGGCTCAAACTCATTTTATTACATTTTATTTATTACTTTGGAGCAAATCTGTTCAGGGTTTTAAAGGGCCAAGCTTTGCTTCCTTTGTTTTCTTGTTACTTTAAAGAACTGAAGAGCAAACATCACTTCAATGCCTTGTTGCCCTGAACAGCTAATCAGTATCAATTGCTGGAGCCACTGCACACTTGTAATTGGTGCTTCTTTGTCGCCACTGAGATAATGCAGATTTCAAGCTCATTATTCATGTAATCACAGTCATCACAGCTGTGTTTATTCAGAAACTGCATTGTTACCACTGATGTTTATGCCCATTATAGTGCAGGCTAGAATGGGGATACAATTCATTTAGAAAGTCAGAAGGAAAAAATGCTGTCCTGAAAGAAACTATATCTTCCACAGAGAACAAAAGGGAAATACAGGACAATCCCACCATAAAAGAGGAAGTTTCCTAATGAGCGTGGGAGGGTGTACACATCAGCTGGCAAAAAGAGTCAGAGAATTTTTCAGCAACTTTACTTAAAGTCACATGTAGTTTTACCTCAGGAGTAAATGTAGCAGACATCTATGATTTGGGACCCAGATGAAATAGTGTTTGAGAATGTTTAACATTCCTACATTGCAACCCATGTCATTGAGATTAAGTGACGAGAAGCTACATGTGGCTCAGATGATGCACAGCCCTGAGGAAACTGCTTTAAATCTGATGAACAGTTACCAAAATGTAAAATGTTTAAATCCAGAACATTTTTGAGTCTTGCCAGTTCCCAATTGGACTATTAGATGGAGCTCTCATGGTGGCATTGCCGATTATTTTGAGGGAGGAGGAATGGAGATGGGCAAATGTGAAAAATTGTTTACCACGAAGCAATCCTGCAGATGACTAATGTAGGTTGGCATCATAATAGCCAGGGAGAGAGCCACCCTACTTCTCTGACCAAATCTGGGC